CTACTCTGCTAGATAGCTCATTGAAACATGCCTTTATTATAAAAAAATGTGCAGTATACTGGACATGGTGACGTGTGTTAATTATCTTGCCACTAAGCCAATGCCATAGTTACTACTGGTTTGTTTATTTCTTGCAGAACAAAATAAAGAATAAAAACAGAAAAAGTGCAATGTGCAAAGTGGTGTGGTGATAGAACTCACATTTATTAGAGCCCAAAGCAGATTTGCTTTTAAGGCAGCAACCCACCTTCTTCAAACGATGGAAGCTCTCAAAGAAAGCAGAAATACTAATGTGAGTTCTGTCACCAGATCACTCTGCACATTTCACTTTTTTAAGTACCATTTATTTGCCCTATTTGTTTTATATTTCTTGTTTTCAAATTTTTTAAGATCGAGACCTCCGCTATGTACTATTAGGGGTAAGACTAAGCCTCCAGTCTCCACTACTGGTTTATAAGAGGAGAGCTTATACACCTGTTTTGTACAAAGGAATACGGATGATGGATAGAAGGTATTTCTTCACATGTGTTTTAGAGCTGCTGGTTTTATCACATTTCATTACTGAAATGCTTTAGCACACTTACTCCTTGAGTTTTTTGGGTTTTTTTGTGTGTGCAAAGTTGTATTTCTTACTCACTCCATCAATCATCAGGCTGAGTACCTGAGAGTAACAGGTGTTACTGTGGAGCTCTGCTGTGGTTTTTAATACAACTTACTATTAGAGTAGTAGTGATTGTGAGAACAGCTCCGTTGAGTGTCTTTCATTCGGAGAAGGGAAGGATGACACCACAAGCCTGAGACCAATCCTCTGTATCCCTGTTACAGTTAGTGGCAGAGGCAGACGATTTCCATTTTCAAACCACTATTCCACAGGAATGTTTGGAGATGAACTATAACCAGTTTAAATATACGGCATTGAAAGATAGCCTCAAGTCCAGAGAGAGAGTGACGTGTAAAAAAAGGAAAGCCCCTCTCATTGCAAACCTCATGGAGGGACCCCAGGAGAGCAATAGACTCTCAAACTCAATAGAAAGTGACTTCATCTGGGAATTGAAACCATACTTGGTAACTTATCGTTCTTCACCCAACCTGGTGATAGTGGAGTGGGTAGCAAGATATTATGGGAACGAGTCGAGTGGGTAGCAAGATATTATGGGAACGAGTCGAGTGGGTAGCAAGATATTATGGGAACGAGTGGAGAGACAGTTCAGAGGATGACACTGAAAAAGAGCAGGCTTATCGTCCTTCACCCAACCTGGTGATAGTGGAGTGGGTAGCAAGATATTATGGGAACGAGTCGAGTGGGTAGCAAGATATTATGGGAACGAGTGGAGAGACAGTTCAGAGAATGACACTGAAAAAGAGCAGGCTTATCAGCTAACGATGGAGTTATAACAACCATCAGGGAAATCACTGTCTCCACAAAATGACAACAGCAAACCAAAAGCTGCCCCATCATGCCTTCAAACTGTTTAAAAAGTCAAAAGGGACTATTGATGTCTACTAGATGGAATCTGAATGGCAATGCCTTCTCCAGGACAGACTGGATTACTATTATGGCCAGCAAGCCATCTAGATGTGTTGCTTCTCACTGGGAGGTGCTGGATGAGTTCGTTACGGAATAGACAGTAGTAAAGGCATAGATGGAGGCAAAATAAGTGTGTGCAGCATTAAAGCAACACAAATATGTATTCTTAATGCTATATTGTCCATGTGCCTACTCTTTTCCCGTCCCCTCACCCCGGTGTCATAGGCGTGCGCACGGGGTGTGCCGGGTGTGCCTGGGCACACCCTAATCCCCACGGCACGCCTATGTATTGAGACCGGCAGGGGAGATCTCAGGATCTCCCCTGTTGGCTCAAGCAGAGCCGGCGCTATCTCAGCCTCCCTCCGCATCGACCCACAGGCAGTCAGGGAGGCAGGAGAGGACCCGGGGAGCTCTTGCCAGCAGCTCCGCCAGGTTCCTCTCGCGAGGTCTGAGCATTGCAGTGGCAACGCTCAAATCTCGCAAGAGTGAACTTTAGCCCCACAGGCTAGAGTTCACTCACCACTGGACCACCAGGGAAGGCAGCAGCACGGACATCAAGTAATGTCCGGGGATATCAAGTAATCTGCCCCCACCTCCACTGGACCACCAGGGAAGGCAACAGCAACAAGGATCCCCCCTCCCTACGTAAAGTAAGAAGGGAGGGGGGATAATGTACCCCCACCTCCACCCCCCACAATCACCCACACACATACACAGCACCAACACACATACAGCACCCACAGACATACACAGCACCTACATCACCCACACACATACACAGCACCTACACACATACATCACCCACACACATACACAGCACCCACACACATACACAGCACCAACACACATAGCACCTACACACATACAGCACCCACACACATACACAGCACCTACATACATACAACACCCACAGACATACATAGCACCTACACACATACACAGCACCGACACACATACAGCACCCACACACACATACAACACCCCCACACACGGCACCCTCACAAACACACACAGCACACAAACAGCACCCTCACACACAGCACACAAACAGTACCCTCACAAACACAAACAGCACACTAACAGTACCCTCACAAACACAAACAGGACCCTAACCTAGATTTCAGTAAGGCTTTTAAAACTGTTGCACTGTTGCAATGTGTAAGGCAGTGGCTGAGTGACAGGCAACAGAGGGTTGTAGTTAATGGAATATATTCGAAGCTTGGACTTGTCACCAGTGGGGTACCTCAGGGATCCGTACTTGGACCCATTCTCTTTAATATTTTTATTAATGATATTGCAGAAGGTCTTGATGGTAAGGTATATTTTTTTGCTAATGATACTAAGATATGTAACAGGGTTGATGTTCCAGGAGGGATAAGCCAAATGACAAATGATTTAGGTAAACTAGAAAAATGGTCAGAATTGTGGCAACTGACATTTAATGTGGATAAGTGCAAGATAATGCATCTTGGACGTAAAAACCCAAGGGCAGAGTACAGAATATTTGATAGAGTCTTAACCTCAACATATGAAGAAAGGGATTTAGGGGTGATTATTTCTGATGACTTAAAGGTAGGCAGACAATGTAAAAGAGCAGCAGGAAATGCTAGCAGAATGCTTGGTTGTATAGGGAAAGGTATTAGCAGTAGAAATAGGGAAGTGCTCATGCCATTGTACAGAACACTGGTGAGACCTCACTTGGAGTATTGTACACAGTACTGGAGACCGTATCTTCAGAAGGATATTGATACCTTAGAGAGGGTTCAGAGAAGGGCTACTAAACTGGTTCATGGATTGCAGGATAAAATTTACCAGGAAAGGTTAAAGGATCTTAACATGTATAGCTTGGAGGAAAGACAAGACAGGGGGGATATGATAGAAACATTTAAATACACAAAGGGAATCAAC